TCCCTAACGTTCCTCTACGTTCTTCTTTCTTCATTGTTTCTCTATTCTTGTATCTTCTTCTTCTTCTTCTTCTTCTTCTTCTTCTTCTTCTTCTTCTTCTTGTCCCCGATTCTTCTCTTAACCTTAGTCTTCCCACTTTTTCTTCACCTTTGTCTCTCTTGCGTATTTCTACCTATTTCCTACATATAAGTTTCATTATCCGCACTTTGCAAGAAGTACTGAACGTTGCAAAATTTTAGTTTCTCTTCGATCTAAGAAGAGATCGTTTAAGAACGCTGTGGTCGATTACGCAATCCAGTGGAAAGAGAAATTTATACATATACACAAAGGTAGTAATACGTGGGAAACAACTTTTACCGATCGAGCAAAACCAATTTTAAAATATCCATGATATTTTATTAAACGTACGAGTAACGTAGGTAGATGATTGAAATCAATATTGCAACTGTCGCTACATCGCTACATCGTGTGCGTGTTGCAAATAGTAGCTTTTTCGACAAACTTTCACGAGTTTCACCAAGGTGGCGGTATTTTTACTCTTTGAAAAACCACCATTAAAATCAACAAATGATAGCGAGAGAGAGAGAGAGAGAGAGAGAGAATCAAGTTAATAAACATAAAAGTAATACAATTTTACATTATATTCTCGAGCAAACGAACTTGTCTTGTCCGAATTACCGAGTTTCATGGATGTGTGACGTATTAGCGAACCGCTTCGCATCGAGGATCCCGCGAAGGATGGAAGAGAGATCTTGCGATTTATCGAACTTGTCAATACGCAATATGAGCAAATATGAGCAAACCTTCTTCGATCGGTTGATAAATCTTTCGTCATCAAGATTCGAACGACGAAACAACGTGTACGAACGAACAACTACTTCGAAGAGAATGTTACACAACTAGATTACATATAATCACGCGTATTTGTCTCTTGCACCTCTCGATAACGTGATTTTTCCAAACAGTTGCAAATCCGCGATCGAAACCAACATAGTGATGCATAAAGCTAGTCAAGTAGAATCCTCTACTATAGTATTCTATTAATGAAACCAAATTTGCGCATAGAATTATACATATACATATACATATACATATATATATATACATGTATATATTCATATACATATATATATACATATATATATATATATACATATAGAATTATATTATACTTGTACAAAATAGTTTAGGGTTATTTTGTGCAATGATCGAAATAACGTTGACGATAGCTTTAAGTTAACATCGCGGGAATGAATCTCGCGATATAAAAACATGTGCAGTATGAGCGAGCAAAAACTACGGAATAATCGTAGACTGTTGACGAAAACGGGGAGCAACGGGGTGATACATACGTACATAAGTCTGTTGTACTACGAGTGCTCATTATAACCTGTGTGCGTGTACGTATACACGCGAATACGTATACATGCGCGTATACGTACACGTATGTGTACATGTTACTACTGCACGCCACATCTGTCCGTGCACTCGTCTTTCCAAACTTCAAATTAAAATAAAACTCATCCGAAAATTTTTTGTGCGAACGTACGTAACTTTGCAACGGGGAAACGCCAGCGATGAATAATATACTGTGTGTGTAAATTGATAATGAATCTGTAACCGGAGATCAAGTGTACGTTTGAATGTAAACAAACACGCATAATACAGCTCATTGGATGTATCTCTAATCTAGTATATTTGAATGTAATATCTCTTGTATTCTATAATAGGAAAGTACCGTGTAAGTTACTCACACCATTTATTTTAAAAGTTCGCACTCTTGTAAAAATAACGAAACAACAGTCTGCTGTATTTTCAGAACTATATATATATATATATATAGACGGTGGCAATTCATCATTGATGCGTTATTTGAGCAAACACGATATACAGCGGAGCGAGGAAATATTGGCACGCCTGTTCCAACATTTCAGTACTCGATCCACGTTTAATGGCAAAATGTTGTTGAAAAAATAGCCTCCCTTCCTGTAAGCATATACTGGAATAACATTGCCGATGGTATCTGCAAGGGAAAACAATTCGCATCAACAACTTTTATTTCAATCGAAATTTAAATTTTGACAATTTATGGCACGTTTTCTTTTCTTTGCAGCTATACTATTGCTATTTGAGCAGGGTGTGAAATAATTTTCTAACGGTTTCTAACGGTTTATCGAACTGACAGTCCTTTCGCGTCCTTTCGCGATATCGTTCGATAACGTTCCGCTACTTGTAAAAGGATATTTCGTAGTTCTTCCAAATTCGTCAAATACACAGTACCATTAAACGTAGATGAAGCAATTACAGGCGTGTCGATATTTTTTTCGACTCTCGAATTTTTATATTTCTTGTACTACTAGCGAAATTGCTATTGAAATGCACATTACGTTTACGTACGTAGTAAACTATTTATGAAAACAGATGACACACATCGTTTGTTTTCAATTAAACATATTGCAAAAGAAAAAAGTTAGGCGTCATTTGATTCACTGTATTTAATCGAAAGTTAAGGAACTTGTAGGACGCATTGAAGAAACACGAATTTCGCACGCAATTTCCACGGATATCATTCGTTCCGTGTCGAACGTCCAGACTTACTTCTTTGACTTACTTTGCAACTCTCGATACAGATTACAATGAGAAATAAATAAACTGAGTAAAATGCGTAACACGCACCGTATAAATACGCAAATATATTTCAGAGACTGTTGCGTTAATTATACAGAACAGAACGATGATTGAAGGCAGAGAGATATATACATACATACATACATACATACATACATACATACATGCATACATACACAACACACACACGTAATCTCGTGCGAAATAAGTACAAAAAAAGGAAAATTACAAACTTTTTATTTTTAGCGACCGATGGCTATTTTAATTCACAGTTAATATCGAGGTTTAGTCGATGAATAATATTAAATATACTAGATAATAAATAATTAAAACGGATGAGAAATCTAAAATCGGTTACGTTACACTACCTATTTTATCGATTGTGTTCTTATCGTCTCTATCGTCGTAACTTGTAACGACCTAAATTAATTATACGCTCTTGTTTTAAATTAATTATACATTTTTGTTGTGCATTTGGTTCGTATATATATATATATTTTTTTTTTTTTCTTTTTTATTCATTATCGTTACTATTTATCATCGCCAACTATATCTCTCCTTTTTTAATATCGATCACTGCTTTCTACTCGTCGAATCATGAAGAGCATCTGCAGTGAGATTTGTGTTCCATCGATATAAATATGTAGATATACGTATATACGTTCTTTTTGAAGTTTACAAGTTTACACGCGTTAACTTTAGAATTTCGTCTGATATCGTCACATCGATAGAACGGTAACAAGTAGATAATTTACACAGATATTCACAGCAATTTGTACAAGTACGACGAGGACGCATGTTTAAACTTACAATTAAAGTTGTGAAACGTTTCGTATTTGAAAAGTGAAGTCGATCGGTACGTGTAACACGTATACGTCAAACCGAATAACATAACATAACCTCTTTCGTTGGAAGTGTAAAAGGTGAGAGAAAAGTAACATGAGAGAAATAACATGGCAAAATCCGGAATAATTATACGGATAAGAGTGCAGTTCGTCGATTTCGATCATTTTCAAATACGTTGTAAAAAGTGATTTTTGAACAACTCTTTCCTACACATATGCATAACCTTCGCTGGTACAACCTTTTCGAGTTTTCCAGACATACTCGTCAAAATTTAATATTTTTATTTTGACGTAGATTACTTGCCGCTTGCGTAGTCTTCAATCAGATTTCTATCTACAAGCATAGTAACGTTGCATACTCGTGTCGCAATGAATTTATACGTCTCGCTAAAATTTTCATTTTAAATACACAGAGTCGGAACGAAATGTCCGTTTAATCGACTACGATAGTCGAATAAACTAAATTTGCAATTTCTAACGCTATGGTCAAAATCTTTTCATTCAGTGCAAATAATAATTTGTCGTAAGATTACTTTTTTCCATTTATCACCTGTCCTAACCTAATCCGAATCTGAATCAAATCGGTAAACTTCAGTCGTCAGACTGAAGAAGTCGCTGTCAGATTGAAGATTGCTGACAGCGAGCAGATTGAAATTGCTATTACCCCGAATCAAACTTATTTAATTCTTAGCGAGCTTGATGGTTTTTATATACATGTACAAGGTTTGGGACAGTGTTATTCTAAATCCAAGGCCAATTGACGGCGAAGCCAATCGACCGTCAATTTTATTCGCAACAAGTTCCATCTCCTGTATTTACAAATTGAAACATGAAACGTAAACTCGTCGCTTTAGAAGCTTCTACTATCGTCGTACTCGCAGATAATAAACTTGACTTAAATTCAAGAGGCACGTGTAACCCGTAATACGTAAGGTAGGAGAAAAAAAAATTGTTCAAGTATCGATTTCTTTTCTCAGTATATTTAAAAATTATCGAAATCGGCGAGATTCTGATCTGTACTCTACGTATTTACCGTGTAAAAGAATTCGCGAAACATGTATTCGGCGTATGCTTTTATTTCAGATAATGATTCTTTTTAATAGACTTTTTTTTCGAGTGTTGTGTATCCCTTTCGCTGCTGTCGGATATTATTTAGAAGGATGCATATCCAATCGTTATACACCCCCAACTGCGCCAGTAATGGAGCAACGTGAAGAAAGGCTACTAGCTAATATAAATTCTATATCCGATGACAAGAAACATTCTCCATTGGAAGTCAACCTTTCACCCTGCTTGTCTGTATAATAACTGTTTAATAAGTGTGTGTATTAGGACAAAATGTAGTACACAAGGATGTTTGGTGTAACTATTAGAATATGAAGACAGAAAATAGAATTTTAATTTTAACGTAATGTCATATTTTATTAGTACGAAATTATTATAATTTGCCAAATCAATAGCATCGATAGCATCGATAGCATCAATAGCATCGGCAAAGTAGAATCAGAATAGGATGGATAATTTTTATGCAACTACTCCAAACTTGTATATAACAGCGTGATAATAAACTTGGCCAGGTTCGAGTATACTGTTAGGAAAATTCTCCTGTAAGCGTTAGTGCAATGATATCGACTTGGAATAATAATAAAAAAAACAAAGAAGCATATACTATTTAATTTACTTTGGTGGTTACATTTATACATAACAGAAAAAAGTGTCATTTAGTTTCAAATTTTAACTTATACTTACATGATTAACCGCGTCCGGATAATTTTGCGTTTCTAAACAGAATGCACCATGTTTGAAATACGCGGTTCCGTTCTTTCCTCGAATACTCGCACTGTCGCGTTCAGGCAAAAAGTTGGCCGTATAAAATTGCACTCCAGGTTGATTTGAAAAGACTTGTAAATATCTTCCAGATGTAGGATGTAAAACTCTGGCAACAAGATTAGTTTCGTTTGCGGTATCGCTTACCCTTAAACAAAAATTATGATCGTAACCACCACCACCACCTGGTACTTTGCCGATAACGTCTCCGAGTACAGTCGAGTTTCTCAAGTCCATCGCTGTATCGTCGAGAACCGATCGTATTTCTCCCGTTGGAATACTTTCTGCGTCCGTGACTGTCCAACGATCTGCGTTCAAAGTGAACCGATGCTTGTACAGTTCGCTTGCGTTGCCATCCTGAAATTGCCGTCCGATCCCAGTTAATTACCCATTTTGTGCGCGAACGTTGCCGACAGACAGATGATGACAAAGATTTCTAAATTGGTTGGTTTACGAACATGACCAGCTAGATTGAAGTAACTATGGTTAGTCAAGTTGATAGGTGTAGCTTTCGTAACGAAAACTTTCATCTCGATGCGTAACTCGCCATCGGCGGTTAATCGAAAAATGACCGAAGCTATCGCGTCCCCAGGAAAACCTTCGTCACCGTCCTCGCTCAGTAGAGAAAACGCAAGTTGATCACGTTGAACAGCAGCGTTCCATATTTTTGAATTCCACCCTTTAAAACCACCGTGAAGCGTGTTTTGCCCCGCATTCTTGGCTAAATGATACGTTTTCCCGTTCAAGGTAAATTCTCCGTTTTTTATACGGTTTGCTACTCTTCCTATCGTCGCGCCAAAATACGGGTTATAAACCGTGGACGAATAATCTGCGAAAAAAGAGATCAAGTCAAATACAATTGTTCAAAAAAAGAGAGAGACAGAGAGAGAGAGAGAGAGA